AGAAGAAGCAGATGTAATCGCCGGGACAGGAATTTTATTCACTTGACCTCTCGAAATCCGTCACGAATTCAGCGTCAGCCACTTGTTTATATTGGTTTATTGTCGTCTAGATCTAAAGCATGTTCCAAAAGTCTTTAGGATCTAAACTATACGAACGCTGTGTGCAATCACACGCCTACGTCCGTGCATGCGCCCTAGACTTCTTGACGGACAACAAAAAGTTTGGAAAATTTGGAAAAAATATGCGGGTTCAAATCCCGCCGAATGCCGTGAGTTTTTTCACAATTGGTCAACTAAATCAACCAAATCTGCCAAACCAACTTAATAAAGATTTGAATGCTTAATTTGACCCAGTTGTAAAAATGCCGGTGGCATTCGTGGGTTCGAACCTACACCAGCAATGCCAGAGCAAGGCTTGCGTACAGCCAACGCACTAGCCACCTGAACAATGACAAAGGCTTGCCCATTAGGAACAAACTGGACATGCATCAAAAAATTAAACACCATCCACAGGTTAACCCAAGCGGGAGACAATTACTCACTAATATAATACTACTCTTGCTATGCAAGTAGTCATGTATGATTTGGGTCAGGGAGGGGTGAAAGGTTGCGGTGAAGACGGCCTACAGCAAGCATACTGCATGCTAAATTTAGCCAGAAATTTGGGCTGCCAGGAAAGTAGATAGCGGCACATGACAGAAGGTCTTACTTGAATGTAGAATGTGGATGCCATCCTTATATCTAAGCCTTAGTCCCGATTGGAATAAAGTGCAAGGAAATACGGTGATGAGTACCGATTCCTGTATCCTACTAGCGACTTGGCCAGCATTTGTATCGAAAACAATTGAAAAGCAGTTGTGGGATTCGCCACACACCAGGGTTGATATTTTTTAGCCTAATATGAATTGCAGAAACACCAGGGACATAAAAACTACCCTTTCCCCTAGTGTGCTCCCAATTCGGATTTTTTGAGATTTATGCCTTTGCATGATAAGAAAATGATCAGATGCAGTTTTCGGCAGTCCAGATGCCCAACATTTAGGAATATCAGAATCATTAAAGCACGATTGTGGAAACACAGACTTATAGTGTAGCCAAATCCCAACTTTATTTCTTAAGCACACGCACGACCAATCTAATTTCAAAGCGTTAAACCTAATTCTAACTCAGAAGCTAACTTGAACTCTTATATTTAGTCCTCAATCTGATAGTTAATATTACATAGCAGTCCCACTTCCTCTCCTTGTTTGAAAAAAATCAGTAATCCCTGGTTGTGGATGTGAATCTCTAAAGGCAAAATAAATTTCAAATACACGTCTATGCTGGCATTTTGCGTGACATCAGGGCATTTTCTACAGCTTTATAGACAGAGGTGAATACGCTTTATTTTCGAGGTGGCAACCAAAAGTGTCAGCATAAAATAACTGTATCCACTGAGACTAAGAGATAAGTTAATAGTATACTGAAAAATCTGGAGGTTGCCATAAAATTCAGATCCAGGTCCAATCCCAGCTTCTGGATTTCCGTCTCTTACCACGTGATTTAGTGTGATAGGAATGGGAGTTAGGATTGCTGGTAGGCCGATGTACAGCAGGATGTATGTTGTAAGCTTCGGCGCATAGTCAGGGGAAGACTTCGCAGTCATTAATTCAGAGTGAAGTGAATGGGCAACCTCGTGAAGAATTGCTTGACCGTTTCAAGGTGTCATTGTATTATCATTTCAGCTAAAAGCCATAAAAAAATCGGCAACTAAAGAGAAAATTCGGAGAATACATTTAAAAATCAACAAGTATTTTAAAGCAAGATTGAAAAAACAGGAGAGCCGTAGAGAATTAGGGGGAGGATGAAGCCCTTCTTTAAATCATTTGATTAGGGCTCGGGGTGTGTGATATGAACGTAACCGACGGATATAATATAGAAGTTTACGAATTTTACTGAAGAGAGTTTCAATATGAAAAGAAAATTAAAGATTATATGTCAGCGTAACACTGAGGTACCAGAAAGAGGACAACTCATTGGACAGTATGTCTTAGAATTCAGGACGAGGAGAGAGTTGCAATTGGAAAATACACCAGACTACCTTCTGACTATTCAGTTGAAGGCTACCGACTAAAAATGATGCTGAGATGTAATCCAGACCATCTTTCAGAACTTGGAGATCTGTGTGACCTTAGAGTGGACGATGTCTAGTCATCTCATCAGCTTTGGCGTTGGTAAAGACGTTCCTTGGTTAAAATGTTCTCCAAAATATTTCACAAAAGAATGTAGGTGTCGGTGACTCGATTTTTTCCCTTGGTAATTATCAGGACAATTCCAATTCTATGATCCTGGATGGTACCCAAACTTGCACACTCACACTACCGGCAGGTGGCACTGTCAGCCATGCGGAGTGTTACGAAAATATGACAATTTCAGGACTGTTCAGAGGCAACCTGACGACAATAAACACCGTTTCGGTTGACACGGTGGTGCACCTCATTTCGTCGGAAACTGGCGCATCTCCGTCTACTGGTAAGCGGATGAGCATTTTCCTTAATTTCATACACCTTCATGAATACAAGGTAAAATAAGTGTACGCGTATACTTCTTTATATTATCAGTAGACCTACTAAACTGTCTGGAGCGTCCACCGCCTTCTCCGAGACCCCGGAACAAAAGCATCGTCAGTAGAGTCTTTTGAAGCATTTGTTCTCCGGTAAAAATTGAAAGCAGGCATAAACAGCAGGATTTATTGACATCAACAAATTTCGCGAAAGCTTCTTAGCTGCTAGTTGTCGCTGCATAAGATAGATAACGAGGACACATAGAGCAGTTGTGAATTTCACAGAATTACTGGCAACGGCAAGGAACGTGGGTCAGTTTAAATAATAATCGATAAAGGACAGGGCGGTAAGTCATTATATGGGAAGTAGTGGGTGAGGAAAGTTAACGAAACACACTTGGGAATTAAATGAAATGAACAATTACCAGGGCAATTGGAGGTTAACCACATGGTCAAGCTGCTTGCATAGGTCAGGTTTCTCCCACCGTATG